ATGTGGGCCTGGCTTCATGATAATCAGGATATTCACTTGCTGAATATATTCATTACCAACAGCAAGGTAAACACTGTAGTTAAGTGGGCCCCTTTTGCATAGACATCCCACATAATCTTACTACTGCAAAATGGAGCAACAGTCAGGAAGCTGGGTGCTAATAAAACCATTAGATTAATTAATAAGGGAATGGCAGAAGGAAGAGTCAAGGGACTGTTCCCAAAAATGTGAAAAAAATTTTAAAGGTTATTATAAATAAGGTAGATAGAGGAAACACTGATGGGGCAAAAAAAAGGTGAGAGTCACAGAACTTGTCCAATAAGAAATGGGATGAATAAAAGGGGCACTGACAGCTTAAAACAAAGGTCTTAATCCAGCACTAGGAAAGGTTGGGCAGGCCAGTGGTAATCCTGACTTATCCTACAACATTAAAGGGCCTTAAACAAGTTCACACTAGGCCAGTTTGGAGAAATTGGCTAAGATTACAAAGAAAAACCTGACCTGCAACTGCCTGGAACAATGGTCAAGCAGATTAATGAAGACAGACTGACAGGAAGAGCAGGGTCCCTGGGCTCAATCCCTTGCTGGGGATCCAGAGCCTTTTGCACTTGAGTAGGTAAAACAGTGAGAGGGCAGAGAGGTTCCAGGACCCTTTTACACCAAAGCCGCACGCACTCAGGTACGAAAACTGGTTTGTGAAACCCTACCCTGGGCTACCATTAGATTGAAAGAACTTAATTGTGGTGAAAGTTTATATGAAAACTGGAATGTTTAAACAGGTTTTATATAAAGTTGTGTCTCCTTTACAGGAATGGGTATTATATCTGGCCAGGGAACACATCCTCTACCTTGTATTGTAAACCCTACTGAAGTCCTAACAGGGGCTACAGTTAGTGGTTTTACCTGACTGTTTTACAGGGATGGACCTTGTATTTGACTGGGGAATGTTTCCCCTACGTAGGACTGTAAAACAGAAGGCATAAAAAATTGCCCTCCAAGCAACATTAACTGGACATGCTAAATGGGAACCAGTAAGAATGTCTGAGCCCACACAGTGTAGACTAGAAGCTGGAGTGCTGACAGGGACAGCTTCTTGGTAGGAGAGCCCTGTGTGGAGCACAGACTGGGGCTTACGGCAAAAGCCCATGAGTGCCTCCCAGTGGTGAGTACTGGGACTTTGGACCAGAGAATTTCCATTTGAGGGATTTACTAGCTTGCTGTTGAACATCAATTGAAGCTACTCCTATGACTGAAGGACATAAAACAATCTTGAAACCAGAAATACTCGTAATATCTAGGATGTGAGAGAATCACTCTATGGGAATGGCCGTGCCCAGAAAAGTTCCATAATAAAATAGAAATGGTTTATACAGGATCATGCTGCCTAGGGAATATAAAGCAGAGATACTAACGAGCAGGGTGCCTCCTTTCCCCTAGGACTGAATTTGGAACTTCATGAGAAGCCACCAGATTCTATTACCTCAAGTCCCTACCACATCCCTTATCTGAAGCAGTGGTTACAAGACCAGGGCTATATTCCTAAGCAAGAAACTGGAACTACATTTTTAAACCTTAGGTCAGAACTCCTCAGGGTGTGAGGGGGGGAGCTGTCCTTCACCCCATCTGGAAAACTTGGGGCTAACAGTAAATGCAGATATACTACCTGTGGTAAAAACAGCCCACTAGCTCTGCACCTGTGTGACCCTCGGATGGGAGCGGACTGAAGGAGAAGCACTTACTAGACCAGCACAGTGAATGAACCTGATGTTCCTTCCGCAGGTGAAAAAGTTTGGGCATAAATGGAGAGCAGGAAGTAGCTGAGTGTAAAGGAATGAACAAAGGGGCTATATAATGAGGGAAATCCAATATTACATTAACACCTTGAAAGAGACTCAGAGCAAAAGATGATATTGTTTCTCAGCTCAATTATACCAGAGGCCTGAAAGGGTAAAGCCATATAATGGTAAGCCATATATTGCTTTCAGAATCTGATGTGACAGAATGGAAGCTTGTGAATCTAAATGGCCTCACCCTGGCAAACAATTTCATAGGATATGATGATGGACTGGACTAATTATAAATGACTGAATGGGATTCTATTAATGTGGTAGTATCTTGACTTTTATGACTGTTTTACTGTAACGGGTCTGTGGCCAGAGACTAGGGGATGAACTGTGACATACTATATACATATATGTAAATAAATATATATACATATGCATATATAAACACATCTACATATATATACACAGATATATATATATAGTCTAGTCTCTGCCCCAGGGCTCCTGAACAGAGCTTTTAAAACCCTTGAAATTTCCTAAGTGATAAGAGTGATACAGGAACATCTTTATTTGGTCTCTTGTCCTTAGTTCCTGAAACAGCTTTGGAGCCACAAAGGTGAAAGCATCATCTTTGGTTACTCATAACAAGCCTCTACCAACCACACCTGAGTATGTGTTAATGCAGTGACTTTTGGAAAGCCCCTGCAGATGGAGGGCTGGTTATCAGCAGATGTAATTAGAAGGCTGGGACTTTCAGCTCCCCCCACCCCAGAGAGGAGAGAGTTAATCACCAATAGCTAATGACTTAATCAATCGTGCTAGGAAGGGGTCTGGAGAATTTCCAGGTTGGTGAACTCGTGAAGGTGCTAGGAGAGGTGACAGAAGTTCCATGGCCCCTTCCCAAACCTTGCCCTGTGCACCTCTTCCACTCGGCTCTTCCTGAGTTGTATCCTTTGTATTAAAGTGGTAAACATAAGTAAAGTGTTTCCCTGAGTTCTGTGAGCTAATCTAGCAAATTACTGAACCTGAGGAGGTGGGAACCCCAATTTACAGCCAGGTGGTCAGAAGTACAGGAGACCTGGCGATGCCATTGGTACCTGAAGCGGAGGCAGTCTTGTGGGACTGAGCCCTTAACTTGTGCCAACTCCAGGTAGACAGTGTCAGAACTGAATTTTCTTACTAAGCTAGGAAAGTTAAGAAATGTACTCTAGGAAGATTTCAATGAAAAAGTCTAAACTTTGTTTGGTATGGCCAGTTAGCTATGTTGGTTAGAGGGCAGTGTTGTAACACCAAGGTCAAGGGTTCAGATCTCCATACTAGCCAGCCACCAAAAAAAATAAAAATAAAAAAGAAGTCCAAATGTTGAAAGCAGTATTAACCAATCACTTAGTAAAAACAGGTGTACTTGTATGTATGAGTATGTTTAGGAAAAGAAATAGGGAAGGTGGAAGTAGGTATCTATTCTAGAAAAGTGAAATGTAACTAAAACCAAAGAACTGAGGGTAAAAGTCTCTAATCTGAACTCATTTTGTAGAGGTATTTTGCTTAGTAATTTAAAAACTGTACCATTAAAGGCCGTGCCACTACAGCATAAGTAAAAAACGTTGGCAATTCTACCCTTCAGTTTTCAAGCTACAGCCCCAAACTAAAAGGCAACCTAGCATGGAGTTGTAGCTGCCTGGCTGTGTCATTTCTAAGTGGGTGAATTTGGGCTAGTTAACTTACCTATCTCAGTTTCCCATCTTAATCCATATGAAGCGTTGACCCAGTCAGTGTTTGGCACATATGTGGTATACATGCTTAGCAAATACCAGCTGCTTCTGTTATTGCTATTATTATTATTAACAACCACTATACATAGTCAAACTGGGTCCTAATACTGCTTTGATCGTTTGTTGTTCAAATTCAAATAGTAGGGAGAAAGCAGACCAGTGTTTAGTCCTTAGAATAAAAAATAAGAATCAATTTCTAACATAAAAACTCTTCACTATATAGTTTTAAGTTCAAGACCCCATGCCAATATTCTAAGAAATGATAATTATTTCTAATAAAAGAGAAAAGAAAACTCTAAAGGCAAAAGCAACAAGTCAAGTAGGAGTTGGTTCAATGTATAAACAAGAAGCCATAAATGAAATTTGAAAAAGGTTAAATGGGAAAATTCTTACAAGATTCATAAATAAAGCTAGCTCAATTATTCATGGAATAAGAGAATCAGGAATAAAACAACAGACAAATCCACAGAGGAAAACCCCAAACCAAATTTGCACATTAGTTTAACATTACCACACTCTAAACCACATCGAATCTATCCCCAAACTGTTGATGATAGAAATTTGACTTATCTGAATTCTTTTGATCCCTCTATTTTTGCCTACTATCAGGAAAAGCTACTAAAAAGCTAAAAATTGAAGTGCAAAAAGGCCAAAAAAAAAAAAAAAAAAAGACCTGGACAATCAGCCTGTGAATAATTTGAATTGGATTATAATTTATAACTTTATAAAGTGATCTAAGAATGTTTATTTTAACTTGCAGAATGACATAAGACATATATGAATAATGCAGATTAAATATAAAATATGTGTTGTACCTGTAGTAGTAACATTGTTAATTGAAAAAAAAAAAAAAAAAGAAAAGAAAGAAAGAAAAAAGTGGTGGTGGGGGTGCAATATTCTTCAAATGTACAAAAATACACAAAAACAAGTTGCTTACACATCATGGATGAACAAGTGAAGTGTGTTTTTTTTTTTTTTTTTTGTCCTTTTTGAGACCTGCCGCACCGCTCTCAGCCAGTGAGGGCTGTGAGCGCACCGGTCATCCCTATATAGGATCCAAACCTGCGGCGGGAGTGCTGCTGCACTCCCAGCGCCACACTCTCCCGAGTGCACCACGGGCTCGGCCCAAGTGAAGTGTTTTGACATATGCCTTTTTTTTTCCCCTTTCATCTTACTCTTAACTTAAAGGAAAATATTATCCAACATTCATGTCCAAACTATACTTGTCTGTCAGCTGCATTGTAGGTTGGTTGCAGAAAGAAGAGTTGGGCAAAAATCACTGAAAAGTATTGTATGAAAACTCAATTGGCGATATGGATTTTACACAAAGAAATACTACATATTTTATTACTTGTAAATTATTTACTACAACATGCTTTATAACAATAAGATTTATAACAAACTCATGTACATAAAAAAATAAGTATGAGATAAAACATGATACCTGAATATCCTTCTTGATTGCTTTAGCTTTGTTCTCTGCCACTTTCTTTCTAAATTCCAGAAGAACTTCTTTACAGTCCTCCAGATGAACCTCAGGCTCCCAGGTGTCATCATCTGATGTATATCCTTTCCATCGAACTTTGTAAAGGATTTTACCCTGTGATATGAATTAAAAACAGGCAAATAAAAGATATTACTGACATGATTAAATTTCCAAAAACACACACCTGCTGATAATATATGAAAGAACCTGAGAAGTGCTTCTAAATGGAAATTCATATCACATGATAATGTATGTTCATTTCCTAAGGCAAGTAGCATAAGAAAAAACAGTATCACTGATCTATTTTTCATAAACTGAAGACTGAGGTCTTTTTCTGACTATATAAAGCAATATCCAAAAAGTAATGAAACACAGGAAGAAATAAGGGCTGGCTGGTTAGCTCACTCGGTTAGAACACGGTGCTGATAACAGTAGGGTCAAGTATTTGGAACCCCATACCAGCCAGAGGCCAAAAAAAGGAAGAACCAAATAAAAGTCACTCAAAGACACTGGTAACAATTTGATCTATTTCCTTCACCTACTACACTAATTTATTAACAGATAAGTAACATTTTTTAAAACACTGGGATAATACTATAATTTTTAAGTTTGCTTTTTCACTTATATATATCAAGCTCTTCGTTTTCAATATTTTTCAAAAACATGATTTTTAATGACTGAAGATTATTCCATCATATATTCTCTTTGTTAACTCTCCCTTTGTTAACCAGCAAATTACAGAAGGGCCTGCCCCCTGTTTTTGCTCATCCTGTGAGCTAAGAATGGTTTTATATTTTCAAATGATTGAAAACAAATCAAAAGAAGAATTATATTTATAAAGTGCTTTACAATGTGTCACATAATATCTAAATCTTTGTATTTATTAGCTCATTTAATCCTTATAATAACCCCGTGAAGTAGGTACTATTACTCATTTTATAAATGAGGAAACTGAAGCTTTTAGATAGATTAAGTAACTAGTCAAAGATTACACAGCTAATGAGTAGTTCAGCTGACTGAATTCAAACCCAGAGTCTTATCCTGAGCCTGTGCTCTTAACCTGCTTATACATGAAAAGTTATTTAACACTGCTCTATACATGTGCACTTACAGAATTATCATTAACTATTTACATTTTTTCTTTACAAAATAACCTGTTATGTGCTCATTTTCATCACTGCTATTGAACACTGTACTGAAGTTCCAGCCACAGCAATTAGATAAGAAAAAGAAATAAAAGACATCCAGTTTGAAAAGGAAGAAGCACAACTGTTGAGTATTCACAGATGACATGATCCTGCACATAGAAAATCCCAAAGAATTCCACAAGAAAGCTACTTGAGCTAATAAATGAATTCAACAAAGATGTAGGGTACAAAACAAACACACAGAAATCGGTTGTGTTTCTAAACACCTGCAATGAACAATCTGACAAGAAAATTAAGGGCCGGCCCGGTGGCGCACTGGAGAGTGTGCCGCTTGGGAGCGTGGCGGCGCTCCCGCCAAGGGTTCGGATCCCATGTGGAGACCGGTTCCCGCTCGCTGGCTGAGTGTGGTGCGGGTGCGGCACCGAGGGTTGCGATCCCATTGCCAGCCATGAAAAAAAAGACAAAAAGGAAAAAAAAAAAAAAGAAAATTAAGCATTTCCATTTACAATAGCATCTAAAAGAATAAAATACCTAGGAATAAATTTAACCAAGGAGGTGGAAGACATAAACTAAAAACTATAAAACACTGCTAAAAGAAATTAAATAAATGGAAAGATATCCTGTGTTCTTAGGTAGGAAGACTTAATGTTGTTAATATGTCAACACCATCCAAAGTGATCTACAGATTCAATGCAATCCCTATCGAAATTCCAATAGCCTTATTTCCAGAAATAGAAAAGCCAATCCTTAAATTCATATGGAATTGCAAGAGGCCCTGAATAGCCAAAACAATCTTGAAAAAGAACAAAGCTGGAAGAGTCAAACTTCCTGATTTCAAAACTTACTACAAAGCTGCAGTAATTAAAACATTGTGGTACTGGGCCGGTCCGTGGCTCACTCGGGAGAGTGTGGTGCTGATAACACCAAGGCCACAGGTTCGGATCCCATATAGGGATGGCCAGTTCGCTCACTGGGTGAGCGTGGTGCTGACAAACACCAAGTCAAGGGTTAAGATCCCCACACCGGTCATCTTTAAAAAACAACAACAACAACAAAAAAACAGTGTGGTACTGAAAAACACCGATATAGAGAGTCCAGAGATAAACCCATACATCTAAGGCCAATTGATTTTTGAAAATGGTTCGAAGTCCACTCAATAGGGAAACAAACTGTGCTGGGACAACCGGACTTCCAACATGCAAACAAACAAAGTTGGACCCCAACTTCATACCATGTAAAAATAATTGACTAAAAAAGGATCAAAGAGTTAAATTTAAGAGCTAAACCCATAAAATTCTTAAAAGAAAACACTGGAGTAAATCTTTAGACTTTGGATGGCTATGGATTCTTGGATGTGATATCAAAAGCACAAACAAAAGAAAAAAAAAAGATAAATTGTACTTTATCAAAATTAAAAACGTATGTGCATCAAAGGACGTTACCAACAAAGTAAACAGATAACCCACAGAATGGGAGAAAATATTTGCACATTAAAAATATCTGATAAAGCCGGTCCGGTACGGGGGCAACACTGAGGGTTGCGATCCGTTGCCGGACACGGAAAAAGACAAAAAAAAAAAAAATCTGATAAAGGGTTAAAGCACAGCCTTATAATAACAAGGTCAAGGGTTCACCTCCCTGTGTGGTAGGCCAGCCACCAAAACAAAACAAAAGAACAAAAAGAGCAGGTTGGCTGTTTAGCTCAGTTGGTTCTAACTGAGAACCTTAGAACACCAAGGTCAGCCACCTTCAAAAAAAACAAAAAACAAGTATCTAATAAGGGATTAATATCCAGAATATATGAACAACTACAATTCACCAACAAGACAGACAATCGAATTCAAAAGTGGGCAAAGGACTTGAACAGACATTTCTTCAGAGAAGATACACAAACTGCCAATAAGCACATGAAAAGATGCTCAACATCATTACTCCTTAGGGAAATGCAAATCAAATCACAAAATGAGATACCACTCTTCGCCTGTTACATGGCTATTAAAAAAACGCCAATGGAAAACAATAACAGTTGGTAACGATGTGGAGAAACTGGAACCTTCTTACATTGGTGCTAGGAATGTAAAATGGCACAGCTACTGTGGAAAACTGTCAGGCAGTTCCTCAAAAAGTTAAACATAAAATCAACCTATGACCCAGCAATTCCACACGGAGGTATATACCCCCAAAGAATTGAAAACACAGACTCAAACAGGTATCTGTATACCAATGTTCACTGCAGCATTATTCACAATAGCCAAAAGGTGAAAGCAACCCAAGTGCCCATAAGTGGATAAACCAATAAAATGTGATATATACATACAATGAAATATTATTCAGCCTTGAAAAGAAAGAAAATCCTTACGCATGTCACAACATAGATGAAACTTAAAAGTATTACGCTAAGTGAAATAAGCCAGACACAAAACACATATTTATGATTCCACTTAGACGAGGTGCCTAGAACAGGCAAATTTACTGAGACAAAGTAGATTAGAGGTTATCAGGGACTGGGGGGAGAGGTGAAATGGGGAGTTACTGTTTCATGGTTACAAAGTCTGTGCAATGATTTTAAAAAAGGTTTTGGATATGGTAATGGTTGCACAACATTGCGAATGTAATTAATGCCACTGAATTTTACATTTAAAAATGATTAAAATGGCTAATTTTATGATATATGTATAATTATAATAAAAATATCCTTTACCTATTGTGTCTTTTGCCCATTTCATTGCTCATTTATGAGACTTTTTCTTTTTCATACTTATGGCTATTAAATCTTTGTCATATATATTCCAAATTTTTGCTTAAATCCCAACAAGCAAGAACATATCTGCAACATGGTTGTCTGCATGAACTGCAGAGCACCATTCCAGCTATACACTTAACATCTGCCTGATTTTATTCATACTTCTACCATGGCAATAAACCTTCCCAGCTGAGTGCCAAGAACTGCTGCCTCCCACTTTACCCTTCAGTCATACCTACACCGCCCTCCAATCATTCTGCAGTGTGTAGAATGACCAAGTATCAATATTTAGTAGTATTAGGAACAAAGAAATAATGGAAAATCTTAAAATCTTAACTTTTAAAGATACTCCTGAAAATCCTTAAAATTTAAAAATAACACTCGTACAGTCATGCACCCCACAACAACTCTTCAGTCAATGATGAAACACATATACAATGGTGGTCCCATAAGATTATAATGGAGCTGGAGGTGTGTAGTGGGCTATACCACCATTTAGGTTTGTGAAAGTACACTCCATGATGTTCACATAAATATGAAATCACCTAAGGACGTGTTTATCAGAAAGTCATTAAGCAACACAAAACTGTAGTTTAAGAGGACATCAATACAGTTTTACGGCTCAGCTACATTAATTGGGTCAGGGATCAGTTGATTATATCAGTTAAGAATAAATGCATATTCTTTTTAGCAAAACTGTGTACAAAAGGAAAACTATCATGTACAACTTTGTAAGAGCTTCTACGACGGTATAGTTTAAACCGAAGAAATTAAACAAAGGTGAGACAGCATAGTTGTTTTCTTAAACAACTATGCTTCTTAGCCTGAATGAATGCGGGAAGAAAGAAAAAGAAATCTTAGTCGATAATATGCAGTATTGCCTGAAAGAGAGTAATATGCTTGGTCTTGGTAGAAACATCACATGAAGAGTTATATGTTTGTAGGAGAGTGTAGGAATATGCTAATTTCATCAATAACAGGTCACGAGAACAAATGACCCTTGTTTGTATGTGTTTATAAAAATAGTGGTAAATCTGTCATTCAATACACTGCTTTTAAAATAAACACTATTTTGTGGCCGGCCCATGGCTCACTTGAGAGAGTGTGGTGCTAACAACACCAAGCCAAGGGTTAAGATCCCCTTTCCAGTCATCTTTAAAAAAAAAAAAAAAAAAAAAAAAAAAAACCCCAAAAACCTCCACTGTTTATTCTCAAATGGGCCAAAAAATTTTGTTTATAAACAGAGAAAAAAAAAGATAAGGCAAATATAAATTATTAACAACTGAGGAATCAGGGTGAAGGTATATGAGATTCTATACAGTTCTCACAACCTTCCTGATGATTAAAAAAAAAAACTAGTTGATTTAGTAAATTTTACTTCTACATTAACAGTTATAAATTTAATGCTTCTTGTCAATGAAATTTAATCTATTTAATGAGAATGAGGGTATTAACATCAATTCTCAAGTATTAAGGACATCTCAATTCTAGCTCCAGATTTAATTTACTGGTAATTGTTCACAAGCCTTTGTTTCAGCAGTTTTGCTTCATTCATTCACTCAACAAACATGTACTGAATGTGGTCACAATGTGTCAGGAACCTTTAAGTTCTAGGGACATAACAGTACACAAAATCAGATAAAGTCCCTGAATTAAAAGTCCTTTTATAGAAGAGTCATGTAAATCCAAATATTGCCCAAGACTTCACCATATGTTAAGAAATTTATGATAGCCCCGGGATTTATAAATGTCTTCAAAATTCCAGGAATAGTCTATTTTCTTCATCACAAAAGTTTTCTTTTAGCTTAACCAGTGAGCCAAACTAAAAGGTGAGAGATGGTACTCCTATCCTACCAGATCATATACACTAAGATCACTAGTTTAATATTTTGTTTTAAAAAAAAATCTCGGGGCTAGCCAGTTAGCTCAGTTGGTTAGAGTGCAGTATTATAATACCAAGGTCAAGGGTTCAGATCCTCATACTGGCCAGCCACCAAAAAAAAAAAAAAAAAAAAAAAACCTCAAGGCCAACAAGTCTGAGTGCATTATGAATACAAAATGTTTAGGAAAAAGGTGAAAGTAGATTAAGGATTTCAATGGATTTCTATTAGCTTGGGGTTTTTTCTAAAACCTGCTTAATGGAACAACTTAAGCAGTTTTCCACCGTACACAAAGGTTACAGATTATTATCCTTTCTAGAAGTGTGTTAATAATAGAAGTAAAAATATCTGGTCTGTTTTAGCACCACTTTAAGATCAACAAGAATCACATAAGAAACAATCAATATTCAATGAAAAACAATACATGAATATATGTCAGTTAAAGTCAAAAGTTCTTTTTAAGTATCACTGGAAACAAATCTTTGTCATGCAGATACAAATTTACACATTCCTTCCTAAAGGATCTCATAGGAACTAAACCTTAGTGTATTCCCTTAAATTAAAGGACCATATAATTTAGGAAAAAGCCAAGCAAGACAAAAATAATTCATAGATAAAATGTTCTTTTTAAAACAGAGGAAACAGAAAACAGAAGAGATGACAGATTTAAACCCAAATATTAACAGCAATGGCAGCAAACTAAAAAACACATACAAACAAACAAAAACCAGCAATGGCAACAAATGTAAATAGATCAGATATTTCAGTTCTAAAACAAGATTATCAGACTAGATTAAAAACCAAAGCCAAAACAAACAAACAAACAAAAAGTTAACTTTACCAGGAAGATTTAATGATTCCAAATCAAAACTAAAAAAAAAAAAAAAAAAAAAAAAAAGCGAAAACATGGTTAGCTCCATTGCTTAGAGCATGGTGCTGATAACACCAAGGTTCAGGGTTCCATCCCCCGAAAAAAGCAAAAATTATGTAATTACAGAAAGACTAATTTCCAACCAAAATGGGAGATTTGAACACCTTTCCCCAGTAAAACTGATAGAAAATGCAGCCAAAAGAAAAAAAAAGAAGGAAAGGATACAGACTATCTGAACAGCACAATTAGCAAACCTGACCTATTTGACCAGGCACTAAACAACTGTGGAACATACATTTTCCAGTGTACTTTGAAACACTAAAAATAAAAGTGACAGCCGCATTTTTAATTTGCTTTTAACTTTCAGAGGAAAAATGTATAAGTGCGTTTTGCTCAGCTTAAGAATGATCCTGTAGCCACTAAGGCAGTTAAGCACATAAAGCTTAATAAGCAAGTGTGGGAACTTGCAACACGGTCAAAATTAGTTTAAAAAATGTTTTGTTTATCTTAAAGAAAAATATAGTCAGTTAAACATAAAATAATAATAGTTTAAACAATAATCATGAGTGATTTAGAGTCACCAGATGCTTGCTTCTACTTTTGCTTCACAGATATGTTGTTTTTTGCAGATTTTGAGACTGGGGTGGCCTCAACCATGTAGATCATCTGATAGCCAGACAAGCTGACACCAAGAACCAAAACAGATCAAGATCAGGGAAGATGCTGAAACATGCACAAGAGCCAACCAACCAGAGATGTCCATAACCTATTCACAAGCCCTAACTCCCTACCTTAACTTTTGCTTTTGAAAACCCATGACTGAAAGCCAACATGGAGTTCTGGTTTAAAGTGACAGCTTCTCGTTCTCTTTGCTTGGCCGTGCAATAAAGTCTGCACTTTCTTCACTGCAAATCTCAGTGTTCACTGATGGGCTTAGCTGAGTATGAGGCAGGTGGACCTCCCTTGTTTGGCAACAAAAATGACCACTGCTGGACCATAAAGCATGTTTCAACAAATTTCAGACTACAACAATGTAGAGACTATTCTCTGACCAAAAAGCAATTAAACTAGAAATCATTTTTAAAAAGATAAATAAAATATTCCCAAATGTTTGGAAATGAATATACTTGTATAAAAATTCATGGAAATTGGAAAATATTTTTATCTGAACGATAACAAACACATTACATAACACAACTTATGAGCTGCAGCTAAACTAAGATTAGAGGGTAGTCTTAAAGGCATATAATTTGAAGGAAAATAAAAGGCTGAAATACAATGAGCTAAGGCCAGTAAATTAAGGGACAAAGATAATAAAGATAAAGCAGAAATTAATGAAATAAAAAAATAACCGTATAAATAAGAAAACCAACAAAACTTGGTTCTTAAAATCAACAAAAGTACTAAACCTTGGGTAGAACAATGAAGAAAAACAGAGAAGGCACAAATAATCTCACTTCATATCAGACATTCAAAGATCATTAAGAGGACATCACGAAGAACCTTACACCTATAAATTTAAAAATGTACCTAAAATGTGCACATCCTTAGAAAATATAACTTTTTAAAACATCGGAATAAGCCTATAACTATAAAAGATAACAGTTTCTAATTTAAAAACTTTTCCAAAAGTAAATTTGAGATGGCATCATGGTCAAATTCTACCAGACATTCACAAGAAAATCCCTGAGAACTAGAATTTGAACCCAACTTCCATCACTAAAGTCTAACTCTCCTTTACTGACTTACACATGTAAGTTTCTTAGTTTCATCCACTTCAGACTAAAATATGAAGCTTTAGATACCGTGCCTACAATTCTTTGAGACCGGCAAAATCAAATACTGACCGAATGAATGGCTGAATCATCTTAACTTTCTAAATATCTTCTATGTGCCAAGCACTGTGTTAAATGCCGGCAATATAAAACAGTCTAAGATTGACTTCTCTCACCTCAGGTGCTTACAATATATTTGGGGAAATTACACTTAAAAAAATTCTATCTTTACTGTACTGCAACTAACAACAATATTAATGACACTGGACTTCGATTACTTAACTCCCCTGGACAGGAGAACTTTACAGTATCAGCAACTATGTATGTTTGAATTAATCTCTATACAGTCCAGATCTCACAAAGCATCTGGCACATGGTAGCTGCTGAATGAATGGACAATAAAATTAACACAGGCAGCATACATGACAAATGAGAAATAATAGATAATGAAAAGAATACAACACAGAGAACGACCACTGCATGAGACCTTTGGTCACCTCACCCCATCTTCTAAAACAGATTTTCCTATTGTCCACGATTTCCCGCTTTTCCCTCCCCTAACCTCCAGCCCACAACTCATTCGCTCATTTAATAATCTGGTACTAAGAAGTCACTGCATGCCAGGCACTGGACTAAGTACCAGTAATGCAAAAATTAATAAAAATCACATCCCCTGGAGTAAAGGAGCCCACAATCTAGTGGGAGAGACGAACGTAACGGACGATACTGCCTTAAACGCCCTACAGAAGTCTACAGTACGTGGAATAAAGCAGAGATGAGAAAGCACTCTGCAGGGATCAGGATCAACAACTACTCTCACAGAGAAATGGGCCCAGAGGCTTTGAAAGACTTAGTAGGATTTCACCAGAAGAGACGGAAGAGAACAGGGCAGACGGGAGAACGGTTAGCGCCGAGGCGCGGCGTGACGACGAACCTCACGTGTGGCCGCGCGGCTACAATCATCTAACGCGCAGGGGAGAGACGGACAACGGGAATTCCGCAAGATTTCAGAGCAGAGAACTGACCACGGTGTCGGGAAACACCGTCAGTGACGGCCGCGGAAGTCCTGCACAGCTGCCTGCACGCTCGCGCCATCCTCACACGCACGCCGCACACTGCTTCGTCCCTTCTGCCGAAGGGTCCTCTCTAACTTCTGGACGTGTCCTCCACAGACGCCGACCTAGGAGTCCACTGGGAAGCATCGTCCCGCCTCTCCCGAGACCCGCGCCAACGGTCGCGTCCACAATCGCGGGCGTTCCCAGCTCGGCCCTCCCCTCCCGCCCCCCCGCTCCAGGACCCCCGCGGACCCCCGCGCTTCACGTCCAGGACCTTCGCCGCCGCACACACGCCCTCGCCGGAAAACCCACGTACCCCCTCAGTCTTCACGTCCAGGATCTTCTCCACCTCGAATACGTTCTCCTCGTCCTCCTCGCTGTCCCTCACGGCCTCCGCTCCTTTTGCGGCTGCATCCTTTCGCCCCGATTCCTCTTCGGCTTCGGGCAACTCATCATTGCCGTCGCCACCTGACACAAGAACTGCGGTCACACTCGTTGCCTCCGCAACGGGAGCCACTGCCGCCATCGTAGGAGCTCCGCAAACTGCCAAAAAAAGCAGCTGCGACACACACTACGGCGGCGTGACCGGGCTGGGAGGGATACCGGCCAATGGCGGGCCCGAGATCGTGGAGTGACACGCACAGGAACCAATCATGTAAAGGCTGGCACGGCGGAGCCTACGGGAAGCGGGTGGGCGGGCCCCAGGACGCCTGGGGCGGAAGAACGTCGTCTGGGGGCGGGTGGAAGGGGTCGCGGGGTGGCGGGGCTGCCGGTCGCTCTGGAGAAGGGAGGAGAGCCCGGGAAGTCCTGGAGGGGCGGAGCGGGGCTCAGGCGCGCAGGGCGGAATGACAGGGCCACATCCGCATTACATTTTTATTTTTATTATTTTTTGGTGGCTGGCAAGTACAGGGACAGAACCCGTACACTTGATATCATAAGGCTGTGCTCTAACCAACTGGGTAACCGGCCAGCCCTCACATGCGTTTTAGGAGAATCATTCTGCGTACACTAAGGAGACTAGATTGTATGCCAGTAAGTCAGATAACTGGAAGAAATGAATAAATACCTGGAAATATACAATGTACCACTACTGAGTCATGAAGAAATAACTGAAGCAGTGGTCAAAAATTTCAAAAAAGAAAAGCTCAAGACCAGATGGCTTCACTGGGGAATTCTACCAAATATTTAAAGAAGAACTGGGCCGGCCCGTGGCTCACTCGGGAGAGTGTGGTGCTGATAACACCAAGGCCCCGGGTTCAGATCCCATATAGGGATGGCCGGTTCGCTCACTGGCTGAGTGTGGTGCTGACAACACCAAGTCAAGGGTTAAGATCCCCTTACCGGTCATCTTTAAAAATAAATAAATAAATAAAAATAAAGAAGAATTAAGACCAGTATTCTTCAAGCTCTCCCAAAAAGTTGGAGAGGAGGGAACACTTCCAAACTGATACTATGAGGCCAATATTACCCTGATACCAATGCTAGATGCTACAAGAAAACTATAGACCATATTCCTGATGAGTATTACAAAAATCCTCAATAAAATACTAGAAAACAGGATTCAATAGCACGTTAAAAGGATTATATATCATGAAGTGATATTTATTCCTGAAATGTAAGAATGATTCACCATATGCAAATCAATGAATGTAATACACCTCATTTACAGAATGACAAGAAAAACAAGGTGTAATTATTTCAGTTGATGCAGAAATGCATTTGACAAAGTTCAACACCCTTTCATGATAAAAACATTCAGCAGGGCTGGCTGGTTAGCTCAGCTGGCTAGAATGCAGCCTTATAACACCAAGGTCACAGGTTTGACCCCCATACCAACCAGCTGGCAAAAAAGAAAAAAAGAATTGCAACAAACTAGGAAAAGAAGGAAACTACTTCAACATAATAAAGGCCATGTATGAAAAGCTCACATGGAGCATCATATTCAAGGAAAAATTGAAAGCCTGTCTATGATGAGGAATAAGGCAAGAATGTACACTCTTGCCACTTCTATGCTACATAGTACTGTAAGTCCTAGCCAGAGCAATTAGGCAAGAAAAAGAAATAAAAGCCATCCAAGTTGGAAAGGAAGAAGTGAAATTATCTCTATTAGCAGGTGACATGATCTTATAAGCAGAAAACCCTAAAGATTTCACCGAAAAACTGTTAGCACCAATAAATGAATTCAGCAAACTTGCAGGATACAAAATCAAGACACCCCCCCCAAAAAAAGTTGTGTTTCTATACACCAACAATGAACATTCCAAAAGGAAAATTAAGAAAACAATCCATCTACAATAACATCACAAAGAATAAAATATGAGAGGGAGGGGACCTGCTGGGGTGGGGAAACGTTGGTCATATGATACAAAATTTCAGTTAGATAGGATGAATAAGTTCAAGAGATCTATTGCACAACATGGGGACTATACTTAATAACAATGTACTATAGTCTGGAAAATTGCTGAGAGTAGATTTTAAGTGTTCTCACCACAAAAAAATGACAAGTATGTGAAGTAATGCATATGTTAGTTAGCTCTATTTAGCCATTCCACAATGTATACATATTTCAAAACATTATATACAATAAATATAATAAATATATGCAATTTTTATTTGTCAATTAAAAATAAAATGCTTAGGGATAAACTTAACCATGGGGGTGAAAGGACTGAAAACTACAAAACAATGCTGAAAGAAATGAAAGGATGCAAATAAATGAAAAGACATCCTGTGTTCATGGATTGGGAGACTTAACATTGTAAAAATGTCCATGCTACCCAAAGTGATGAATAGTTCATTGCAATCCCTATCAAAATCCCAATGGTGGGCTGGCCGGTTAGCTCAGTTGGTTATAGCATGGCCCTGATAAAAATCACAAAGGCCTTATTTGTAGAAATTTAATAAAAGATCCTAAAATTCATATAGAATATCAAAGGACCACCCTGAATATCCAAGCCAATCTTGAAAAAGAACAAAATTGGAGACCTCAACACTTCCTGATTTCAAAACAAATGACAAAGGTATGGTAATCAAAATAGTGTGTTGCTGTCTTAAAGACTGACATATAGACCAATGGAACAGATTGGAGGGCCCAGAAATAAACCCTCATGAAAACAGTCAAGTGATCTCTGAGAAGGTTGCCACACAATTGGGAAAGGACAGCTTCTTTAACAAATGGTGATAAGAAAACGGGATATCCCAATGGAAAAAATAGATATCCACCATACAAAAAAATATGGATATCCATCATGTAAAAAAATTAGCTCAAAATGCATTGAAGGCTGGCAGTTTAGTTCAGTTGGTTAGAGTACAGTGTTATAACACTAAGGTCAAGGGTTTGGATACCCTTACCAGCCAGCCACAAAAGGATCAAAGACCTGAACATAAGATGGAAAACTATAAAACTCCTAGAAGAAACAACATCGGGGAAAACTTCTCTTCCAGGAAGAGATCCGTTGCAGGGGCAGAGTCACTACATAGAACCTTCACTAGAGCAATGCAAAGCATTTCCTCTCAGAGGAAATGTGGGGTCTGAGTTGCAGCAGAAAAATGCCATCAGCACCATGCCTAATGGAGCCCTGAGAGTGGGACCACCATGGAGACCCCAGATCTATAGAGCTACCAGCATACAACGCCAGCCTGTGAGACCTAAAGCATGGCCTCAGACCAGGAAAGCCACAGGAGTGGAGCTGCCCAAAGACTTGGGGACCCAACCCCCACACCAGCGTGCAGAGGATATGAAACATGGAGTCAAGGTACATGATTTGCCAGCTTTGCGATCTAATCCCTGCCCTGCTGAGTTTCTGACTTGCTTAGGGACCTGTCACCCCTTTGTTTTGGCCTATTTCTCTCTTTTTAGATGCGAATGTGTACCCTATGTTTGTTCCACCATTGTATCTTGGAAGTAGATAACTTGCTTTGATTTCACAGATGGAACTTTGAGACTTTGGACTTTTGAGCTGAAACAAGTTAAGACTTTGGAGATGAAATGAATGTATTTGTGTGTGAAAAGGACATGAGTTTTGGGGGACCAGAGGCAGAATGCGGTGGATTGTATGGCCCTCTATAGTCATTGAAACTTAATCCTCATTGTAACTGTTGAGGGTGGGAAATCCTATTATGGTTATTGAAAGGTGGGGCCTTAAAGAGGTGATTAGATTGTAGGACATGCAATAGTGAGTGGATTAGTAAATTGGTGATTTGATGGTGGACATGGTGTGGTTCTGAGGGCTTTAAAAGGCGGAGTGAAGAGTCAGCTCACTCTCTGCTTCTGCCATCTGCCATGTGACACCCTGCCTTGCTGTGAAGTCGTTACCTACCAATAAGGCTTGAAATAGAGCTCCCCACACCGTCATAACTACGCTATCTGCTTCTGTAGAATTGCTTGCTTAACCTAAGTAACTCCATTTTGCCCCCGTCTGACCTGCAGACTACCCCCCTTCTGCTTGAGAAACCATTGACCTTTTCATAGAAACAAAAAACAATTGCATAGAAACTGGAGCCATTAAGAGTGAATCATTACATGGGAACGGGAACCATACACAATGAAAACTTGTATGCTTGATCGCTCGAACGGTTCATTCTTGGCTTCTGTGACCGAGCTCCCTAGCTTGCTTTGTGCACCTGGACAAACCCATGTGCCAATGGGATGTAGTTTTTGCCTTTAAAAACCCTACACGACCAAGGCCTGGGGCCACTCTTGGTTGCTCCTTGGGAGCCGGTTGCTGGCCAGCTGGAGTGAATAAACTGCCCTTTTCTGCACGAGCAGCGTGTAAGTGCATTTCTTGTGGGAGGGGGCCTCACAACAGGCCCTCACCAGGTGTGTTCCCTCCACTGTGGCTTCCCGGCCTCTGACCTGTAAGCAACAAGTATTGTTTCTCTATCCATTACCCAGTTTCAGGTATTTCTATTATAAGCAACAGAAATACAAGCCCCAAACTAGAAAGGACCCCGATGCCCATCCACATGATAGAATTCCACATAATATTCACACAATAGAATTCCACACTGAGTTGGATACGAGTAACTGACAATATGATTGAATGACAGAAACATAATGTTAAGCAAAACTTTCCAGATACAAAAGAGCACATATTGTTATGATTTCACTAATACCAAGTACAAAACAGGCAAAAGTAAACTTGGGGGAAGGGTTGGTTGGAAGGAGGCAGGAATCTTCTGCAGTGCAGGGTTCTATTTCTTGACCTGGATGCCAGTTATATATGTTTAATTTATGAAAAAAACCATCAATCTGTATACTTACATCATATACACTCTGCTGTGTGCATGTTATACTTCAATAGAAAAGTGTTTTGACAATAGAGACAGCTACTGAGAGGTATAGAAAGATAAGGACTAAGTGCTCTCTGGATGTGAACGCTGGGATAGCACTAGACAGAAGAGCCAGGTGAGAGTACCAGTGGGCCACAGACTGCAGGATGGGATAGGAACGTGAGCCGACCTGGGAAGTCCAGAAGGGTTAAGAGTGAACCTCAGTGACAGCTGAAGGGAAGGTGACAAGGTGAGGCCGAGGGATGCCTTTTTCTTTTTTTGAGATGGGGACTGACACCAATTGCTCAGTTGCTTCTTCCCTCCCCCCAGCCTCAGGTCCAGGTACAATTCTTAGGTCTGAGGGGTCTGCAGTGTGGGCTTTATCTTTTTGTCATGCTGGGGAGGAGGGAACGAGTAGCATGGGTACCAGGAGGGTGTCATCCTTGTAAGACAGATATAATGCTGTTTATTTACAATATGGCTAAGCTGCTGCCACGAAAACACTCCAAATATACATAGCTCAAACAAGATAAACTGTGTTTCTTCCTCATTTAGCAGCCTAGAAATGAGCAGGTAGTTTGGGGGTGAGTAGGTGATTTTGTCCATTTCATCCAGGAACAGAGGTTCTTTCTACCTCGTGGCCCATAGCCCCGACTGCATACCCTCAGCTGCAGAGTGGAATCTGACTAAAGCCCATGCGTAGGGAAAACAGAAAGATATAGTAAGATAGCAGCTTCCTTTTTTAAGGACCTGACCTGGAAGTTACAAACATCAATTCTTCTCACACCCTGTTGGCTAGAAATTAGTCTCATGGCTTACCCACAGATGCAAGGGAAGCTAGGATGGCTGCCAGAATCAGATCCTGTGAACTGATACAGAAGGACAAGCAGCAATCTTTGCTTCACAACCAACCACAGCAATATCTTTCCAGAGCTGAGACATGTCGTGGCATGTAGGACGAGTATCTGGCAGATACAAATGATATTAGCAAATCAGTTGTTGACAGCTGGTGTCCCTTCTGATTGGGCCAACATCCGTCTAACTGGTCAGGCCTATGCTGCAAATATTGCAAGACATCTCAACTATCCCCCTGCCTCACCCCTGTCTAGCATGGCAGAAGCAGATTTGTCTTGTTTATTTTTCCTGATGGCTATGATAATCTAAAATAGGGAGGTCTTCTTCTTTGGGTTTATTTCTTCATAAGACCCAGGCAGAGTTCTCTTAGTTTGTCTTTCTTCATTTTATCATCACTACAAACAGAACTTTTAAAAAGGTTACTAGAGATGGCCCAGGAAATTAGGCTAGGCCATACCACAGGATACTGGAGGTCACTGAAGGCAGGACGAGAAGTAGATAGGAAAACCCTGGGCCATGTGACTGAGGGGAGGTCCTGGCGTTTGGTGAATGGCAGCGATGAGAACAGGTAGGGTACGGCCTCACACCTTTCACAAAACACAACTCCAAATGCATCACAGACTTAATCATAAAATGCAAAACTAGAAAACTTCTAGAAGATAATGTAGCACAAAATCTAGATGATCTTGGGTTTGGCAATGAGTTTTTAGATGTAACATCAAAAGCCAGATCCAGGAAAGGATTCTTAGGCCACCTAGTTTCTCTAAGCAACAAGAAATGTATGCAGGGCTCTGCAGACCCAGGAGCCACACACACTAAGCACACAAGGGCCACGGTCTGGGAATGCTGACAGAGCCCACGACCTGGCTTCTTGCCAGCTTGCTCAGTCTGGCTGGTCTGGCTCTCCACTGGACTCCTGAACAGAAGGAAACAAGCCTCCAGGACCATCCAGAGGTGTCTCTCATCATCTTAAAACACTGAAACACAGAAAAGTCTGCAAGATTGTAATTTTGATTTTATTATTCCTTGTGAGCTGATTAATCAATTCTGCTTCCAATTACTTTTTTTGGTGGCTGGCTGGTATGGGGATCTGCACTGTAACCAACTGAGTTAACCGGCCAGCCCTCATTTACTTTATTTTAAAGGGACTGATTGCTACACTGAATAAAATCATAATTAAATTACATTATGGGTCCTATTAATATTTGATTATTTTCTACATAGAAACATGAGAAAAGTTTAAAATACAATTTCATTTGATTCAGCCTTGACTGTAATTGAGAACTCTGTAAAGAGGAGAAGCGGTGTCTATGGGTTGACTTCCCAGCAGCTGCTTAGTGGCAGAGTCCCAGTCTTTACCCAGCTCGAGCCGCTGGCAGACAGAAGGATACTGTGCTTCAGTTCTTCTCACCCATTCACTTGCTTTCTTTATTTCCTCAAAAGCCCAGGGAATGTTCCTAGATTTAAAAAATAAATATTTTCATTGGTTTCAGACTATAATTACACGTGAAATGAAATGTGGTACTAAATCTATCACATATCACACAGACTGATTTTATCAAAAATTAAGATATTTAATAAATATCTTGACATCCATGAATGCTCTTCTACCAGTCTGACGTGGAGCTTTGCTTATTCCATACATGTCGAGCGCCCTTCCGCTTGCCCTGTGCTTCACAGGCTGCCCTGCAGCTCCAGGACAACTTGGGCTTCTTCTAGTCTCTGTGTATTTGTTTATGTTAGCCCTTTCCACTCTCCTCCATATAAATCCTATCCATCTTCAAGCACAAACTTGAGTATTAATTTACAATCCAGGCTTCTGTTTCCCTCTCCTTTCCACTACCGGGAATTCTCACCCTGGTTAGTTCCTTGCAGAATACCTGAGAGTCACCCATGAAACGGGCATATACTTAATTGTGTCACATAAACCAGGAACAACTTACTAGTAAAATGTGCATAACATAAAAACTTCAAGTTTGTATCCACAAAATGATGTCGAATATTCAAGACTATTCGAGACTCAGAAAATTCTGAGATTTTTCATTGATATTAATTAGCTACCCCATTAGTTTTGTCACCTGCTAGAACTAGTTATTGAACAACTGGCAGCATACGACAAAGCTTTTAGGGGCATTTTGGGAGGGAAGGACAACATTATGAAAATTCTCTTCATCTTCCTGATCTTTTTCTTACTTTCATTTTTTGGCGGCTGGCCGGTACAGGGATTGAACCCTGGACCTTGGCGTTATCAGCACCACGCTCTAACCAACTCAGCTCACTGGCCGTCCATGCCAGATCTTCCTGTGAACTGGGAAAGAACCTCAGTACAGCGTGGTTGCTGGGAGCGGGGTCCCAGTCCCCGCTCTGCAATCACCAGTGTTGGCTGTGATATTGTGCAACTCTCATTCAACACTGGAAGTCTGTTTCCTCAATTATGATAATAATATGAGGTCTATGGGTTTATTGTGGGGATTAACGAACTCATGAATTTAACATGCTTACCAGTCCCTGGCACAGAGCAGGCACTCAGTAAACGTCAGGAGAATATTGTGATGAGATGAACACACTAAATGGTGAGCAGTCCCAAAGCGGTTAAAATACTCATGTTTCCCAATGATTATTAATCTACTCCTAGCTACCAACTAACTACTTAAAAGCAACCAAATTGATTTTCACACTTTCACCAGTTCAGCTGGCCTCCCTTCAGTCCCACTGGCCTCTGAATTTTCTGACTGGCCATTCAACTAGTAAGAAAATCTTGCTCATAAACCCCATGTAATGTGCTACTACATTAATGTTATGCATATCTTGAAAAAAATATGTATGGAAAATTTTTGAAAATATGCAATAAACAGGAAATTATAAATATTTAAAATAGTTTGTTTTATTTATTAAAGTGTCAACAAACTATTTTGTTCTCACAATAGCAGTAATATAGTAAGAGCAATGTGATAAAATATGCTGCATCATTTCTGAAAATCTTCATTTAATATTTTGTGATATTGCAATTCAAACGTAGGTTTGAAGTTATTAATATTTGTTCTAATGGCCATTGTAGAAGAAGTACCTCTTTGGAAGTGCCTATTAAGTCAAATGCTAATTTATTAGTTCTATCCACTAGTTGTTCAAAGTATTTTTCTTGATATTTACTTAATATCAAGAAAAATTGCCATCTTTCTCAAGGAGTTGTTTTTTTTTTTTTTCCTTTTTGTCTTTTTTCGTGATGGGCAACGGATCGCAACCCTCAGTGTCACGCCTGTACCGGACCGGGACCAGCAACGGGATCGCAACCCTCGGTGTTGCGCCCGCACCTCGCTCAGCCAGTGAGCAGCCGGTCTGTATGTGGGATCCGAACCCTCGGCGGGAGCGCCGCTGCGCTCCCAAGCGGCGCACTGTAGGAGTGTGCCACCGGGCCGGCCCCTCAAGGAGTTGTTTTGACAAACTAATGAGAAGGTGTTTTTTTTAAAAATGGAAGTATAAATGACATATAGCAAAATGCTCAATTAAGAATTTTCTGAGTACCTGTTTTGTGTTTGATGCTGCTGGGAATACAGAATTTAATCAGTTCTTTGTCAGAGGGTAGAAACAGTTCTACTTATTTTCACTTCATCTATTTAAATATGTATCTCTAAGAGATAAGAACTTTTTCTTAAATATGACACATAAAAATAGTTATCAGGCTGGCTGATTGGCTCAGCTGATTAGAGCATGGTGTTGCTGCTCAAAATAGTTATCAATAGTTCTTTAATATCACAAAATATCCAGGTAATGTATAATTGTCACTGATAGTCTCTCTCTTTTTTTTTTTGTAATACAGTGGGTTTTGTTCAAATCAGGATCTAAATAAGGTCTCCCCACTGCTTTTGGCTGACACATCTTCTAAGGTTTATGTACAGGTTCCACCTTTCCTGTTTTTTTCTATTGCCACTTATTCCCCTCATTCCAGACATTGCTGGAATGATGTAATTTAACAGGTTCCTCTATTCTCTGATCTTCTTCATGTTTAGGACACAAGGGGACTTATTTAACTTTTTATTTTATTTTATTATTTAAAAGATGACCGGTAAGGGGATCTTAACCCTTGACTTGGTGTTGTCAGCACCATGCTCTCCCAAGTGAGCCACAGGCCAGCCCTTATTTAACTTTTTTGATTTTATATATCTTAGTTCCTAACAATATTAATATCTATCTTCCAAAATAACAAAATCAAAAGTACTACTAACAGCATGGTTACTCACAGTGAGGTTTCTTCGTAATTGTTTTTATCCTTAGGTGCTACCCCACTCGGGAGATATAGTCAAATTACTATGTTTTTTTTTTTTCCTTTTTGTCTTTTTTCGTGACCGGCAACGGATCGCAACCCTCAGTGTCGTGCCCGTACCGGACCGGGACCGGCAACGGGATCGCAACCCTCGGTGTTGCGCCCACACCTCGCTCAGCCAGTGAGCGGCTGGTCTGTATGTGGGATCCGAACCCTCGGCGGGAGCACTGCCGCGCTCCCAAGCGGCGCACTGTAGCAGTGCGCCACCGGGCCGGCCCAAATTACTATGTTTTAAAGTCACTTAAAACAAATCCTCTTTGGGTGGTTAAGCAACCAACTTAATCCACAATTAGAGTTGTTTCACTTTGCTTTCTGTCTTAAGGGATGACTTATTTATCGATCTGATTTTAAATTTTATTCATTTTATGTAAAACATTTACATAGTTCCAAAGTCAAAACTGTAAAACAAGGTACATTAGGAGAAACCTGGCTTCCACCCTTGTGGCATACACTGTTTCCTCCTCCTTCCCCTATAGGAAATAATATTTTTATTAATTTTATTAGTTTTCCTCTTATCTTGCCTTGAAAAGAACATAAGTAAGTCTGGTCAGTTAGCTCAATCGGTTAGGGAACAGCCTTATAGCACCAATGTCAAGGGTTTGGTTCCCTGTACTGGCCAGCCACCGAAATAAATAAATTAATTAAAAATAAAAGAACATAAGCAAATTATATATGTATGCATGTGCATGCACACACAGACATATGAGGGTACTTCAAAAAGTCCATGGAAAAATGGAATTAAAAGATAAGTGAATCTTTCCACAAACTTTTTTTTATACTTCTGGAGCCTCTTATTGATTACCTATAGTTCAGTTACCAGATACAGCACCAGCAAAAAACAAAGGACCTCTAACAGAGCTTACTGTTTCCACCTGAAATGACCTGTTGTCTTTTTGACTGACTCTTCCCATGCATTTCTTTCCCAACTCTATAGATCCATAATCATGGATGAGGACAGCTTTACTGGTAAGAGATTTTAGACTAAGGTACAGCTCCAGAAACAAGCTAGTCTCCTCTGACTCTTCAGTATTGGTCACTACCAGGAAACTTGGGGGCAACCAGGTCCAAAGGTTGTTGCGTTTCGTAACTGTCATGAACCCCAGAATCCTCACTCGTCAGAATCTTCCTGGAATCTTCATCTGGCACAGCTGAGATGAGAACACAATTGTCCTGAAAGATCTTGTTCCCTTCAGCTAGTGCTCAGAATCAAAGCTCTGACAAGCCTTTGGTCCTGATACTGATGCCTAAGTTTCAGAGCAGTGACCCAAAGCACTGCCATGACCTGTGCCACGTGTGGCTGAATTTCCCCAGTACGGATGTCCAACCCATGCTCAACTGCCCTTCTACTCGGCCCTGGCAAACTACCTCAAAAGCCTTATTCTGGTAACTACATGCAAGACCCCAATATTTCTGCTGCCCCATAGAAACATGCCAATTTTTGATAAAGGTGTCTCACTATACCTGAGAAATGGCAGATAAAATGGAACTGTATTTTCCCAAAATGTTTCAGATCAGTTACAGCAAACAGAACAGTGACTGTCAAAGAAAACTGTCACTCTGGGCTCCTTTTTGACCGCAGCAGCTATGTGGAAGCAGCTGCAGCTTTGATAAGGGCCAGCCATGAACTTCTTGAAGACCTTGTATATGGGGCAGGGGCACCCTGGCCATGCCCCTCACCATGGGCAGAGGAGTCTGTAGGGACAAGAGAATGTGCCTACCCAGCACACATATCCTCTTTTCTAGACTCTTGAACCCCCGTACTCCCTCACCAGATTGCCATGAGCCCACTTCCAGGGTCTTCCCTGGGTCTGTTCTGAGTCTGATTGTGCTGCCACATCACTGGGTCCGCAGGGTGACCAAGGGTGGGCATTTGCGTGTGACATGGGTAGTGTGTTGATCGGTGCGACAGCATCTTCAGGTGGGCAGTCTAGGCCTCTTACAGTGTGGGAGGTCAGCCGAAGGCTTGATTTGAACCTGGTCTTCCAGGTGGTTGTGAAGTTGTATTTGCTAAGGTCAGAACATACAGTTTGCTAGTTTGATTTATGACTTTTAAATACTTAGACATGTAATAGGTGGGTTTCCATTTGTATTCTTTTTTGGTTTTGTTCTCATTATTTTTTTGGCAGCTGGCCGGTACAGGGATTGAACCCTGGACCTTGGTGTTATCAGCACCATGCTCTAACCAACGGAGCAAACCAGCCAGCCTCTCCATTTGAATTCTTGTCCCAGCCCCTGAAATTGTTGGGAACAGGCCTGGCCCCGTATTGTGGATCTTCCAAGGGCACATAGGATCAACATACTATAGTGAAATGTGCCAAACCAAGATCCAGAAGATTTGGGCTCCTGTGTCTGCTACACTTAAACTCTCTGAGCCCCAGCATCCTGTGCAGCCCAAGGCCAAAATACTATGTCAGCCCTGCCTACCCCGAGGAGATCAGGCAAGCTGTTACCTGTGAACAAATTCTCTTTGTACTTACAAAGTAGTGTATACATGTAAGATAATTCCGTGTAGCTTCCTGTGAGGTATATCTAATAAATGGGTGAAAATATGTTAGTTGCTTATTATTATAGTTAAAGCCACCTGGAAATGGAAGCATCATCCAATTTCATCAGTGATTTGAAGACTATTCCCTCTTGTTCCAACCTGGTACGAAGGAACTGCAGGACCAGCAGCGTGGCGATCAGGTCCAGGAGATACTCTCTTCCTTTTATACCTAAAGGGAGAAAACTCCTTTAAGTCTGTTGGAAACTCTGCATCTTAAATTGTACCCATTTATAAATTTTCCGTTAAAGAATTATAATACTATTATTACTATTAAACAATAATACATTAGCAGATCATAAAACTCTGTATTATTCCTCAAGGTCCTTAATTAGCTTGCTATTTAAATAAAAAGTGAGGTTGATTGGAATGTGGACCTATCGTATTATCCTGAAGGTTGTTAGGAAACTGAACTGTATGCAGAACGCTGCTCAGTACCATTTTCAATAAACAGAGAGGCACGAGGCACGAGGTACGAGGAAAGAAATTCAGTTTCTGGACTCCTACTACAAATAGCTCAGAAGAGTAGACCCAGATATACAGCAGATAAACAACAGATATGACCAGTTATTCCAGTGTATCAAATTACTTCTGGTGATTAGTACTCACAGGTAATCGGTGTTATTAATCCAAATCAAGATATCTTACTATATAATGGGCTGGCCAGTTAGCTCAGTTGGTTAGAATGTGGTGCTGATAACACCACGATCTAAGGTTTGATCCCTGTACTGGCCAATCAACACACACACAAAAAAAGTTGAAAGTTGTTATATTGTGAAAATATATACTTGGTCTGGCAAACAACTCCTAAGATCCTTAGAATCTCCAAAGTGCTGTCTTTTTGTAGGCTAATACGTTGGCTTATGGCTGGCAACTACTAGGTAGCTTCAGGATGGAGGCTGGTCACAGGAAAGCCTAAGACAGGACTTTCAGTCCCACCCCCAACCTCTGGGGAGAGAAGAGGGGCTGAAGGTTAAGTTGTTCACCAGAGGCCAGTGGTTTAATCAGTCATGCCCGTGTAATGAAGCCTCCATAAAAACCCAGGAGGCTTGGGTTTGGAGAGCTTCCAGATAGCCGAACACGTGGAGGTTCCTGGAAGGTGGCGCGCCCAGGAAGGGTAGTACCCCTTCCCCCATATCTCACCCTATGCATCTCTTTGTCTGTATCCTTTGTAATATTTTTTATAATAAACTGGTAACAGTAAATAAGTGTTCCCTGAGTTCTGTGAGCCACTCAGCAAGTAAAATTGAACCTGAGGAGGGGGTTGTGGGAACCCCAATTCATAGCCCGTGGTCAGAAGCCCAGGTAAAACAACCTGCAGCTAGTAATGGCATCAAAGGTGGGGGCAGTCCTGGGGACTGAGCCCGCAACCCGTGGGACCTGACTCCACCTTCAGGCAGACAGTGTCCGAGTTGAATTGGAGGGCATCCTGGAGGGCACCCGCTGAGAGCTGCTGGCTTGCTTGATGCCTGGTGTCAGAGAGCACCTAAGAGTATGGTGCGTTGTGAGAGTGCAGTAGGGGAAACTGAACAGTTTGCGTGTTTTTTCCACTCACTCAAAAGTGAATGTTTAGGGCTGGCCCGGTGGCGCACTGCTACAGTGCGCCGCTTAGGAGCGCGGCAGCGCTCCCGCCGAGGGTTCGGATCCCACATACAGACCAGCTCCCGCTCACTGGCTGAGCGAGGTGCGGGCGCAACACCGAGGGTTGCAATCCCGTTGCCGGTCCTGGTCTGGTACGGGCGCGACACTGAGGGTTGCGGTCCGTTGCCGGACACGAAAAAAAGACAAAAAGGAAAAAAAAAAAAAAAAGTGAATGTTTACATATATCGAACTCAGAAATTAACAACCCATTTTAATTTTTTTAAAAATGCAAGTCTCATCTTTCAAACCACTTTATATAAAATATTAGTTTTGAAATATTCTTATTTATTCAGTTGCACATTTCATGAAACTAATTTTATTCAGACTTGCCATATCCATCTTCATCACCACAGCCCATTCCCAGGAAAGTCATCATCACCTCCACCTGACATGTCTGACGGACGGCACTGTTCGCATCACTACACCAGAGCCACTTTATGTTTTGTATGTATTTTAAGCATATGGAAAAGAGAATAATACGACAAATACCCCTATCCGCTGCCCAGCTTACTACTCTCAAAATTTTCCCATGTCTGCTTCAAAGTTCTCTCTTTTCTTTAAAAGAAAAAAGATATTATGAAGTTTAAGCCTCCGCGTGTATGTCCTCTGATCCATCCCCTGCCCTTGACTTTTCAAAGGAGAGTACTATTCTGATTTTTGGACTTACATTCCCATGATGAACTGTTTTTGAAATTCGTCTTCAATAGTTTTATTAAAGAATATTCAGTGTTTGCAAGTTTTAATTCATATTCCCAGGAATTTAATTCATAGTCCCATATACTAAATAAACTGGTATTAAATTTCTTTTTTTTTTTCCTTTTTTAGGACTTATTTATTTAATTTTTTTTTCCTTTTTGTCTTTTTTTGTGTCCAGCAACGGACCGCAACCCTCAGTGTCGCGCCTGTACCGGACCGGGACCGGCACGGGATCGCAACCCTCGGTGTTGCTCCCGCACCTCGCTCAGCCAGTTAGCGGGAACCGGTGTACCGGACCGGGACCGGCAGGGGATCGCAACCCTCGGTGTTGCTCCCGCACCTCGCTCAGCCAGTTAGCGGGAACCGGTCTGTATGTGGGATCCGAACCCTCAGCGGGAGCGCCGCCACGCTTCCCAAGCGGTGCACTGTAGCACTGCGCCACCGGGCCGGCCCCCTTTTTTAGGATTTCTGCCAGATAACTTCTGTAAGCATCCAACATCCAGAACTAAGTAAGGGTATTTCAGGCTCAGTGCTTCCCTCAACTGACACTTTGTTATTCAAAATACAGTAATTCAGAGAGCACATTCTTATAATATCAAATATTCATGAAGACTTAAATAGTAGGGGCCGGCCCGGTGGCGCACTGGATGAGTGCGCCGCTTGGGAAGCGCGGCGGCGCTCCCGCCCGAGGGTTCGGATCCCACATGCAGACCGGTTCCCGCTCACTGGCTGAGCGAGGCGCGGGAGCAACGCCGAGGGTTGCGGTCCCGTTGCCGGTCCCCGGTCTGGTGCGGGGGCAACAGTGAGGGTTGCGATCCGTTGCTGGACATGGAAAAAGACAAAAGACAAAAAAAAATAAAAAGACTTAAATAGTAAACACAAAAGGACCTGAACACGATATGCATATATCTGCACATACACCATTAATTTTAAATCACTGAGATAGCCAAAACTGCTCTTTAAATGAGAGGGCTTTTATTAAATGGCATAATTTTCTTAATACAGAAAAGGAGGGGGCCGGCCCGGTGGCGCACTGCTACAGTGCGTCGCTTGAGAGCACGGCAGCGCTCCCGCCGAGGGTTCGGATCCCACATACAGACCGGTTCCTGCTCACTGGCTGAGCGAGGTGCGGACGCAACACCAAGGGTTGCGATCCCGTTGCCGGTCCCGGTCCGGTACGGGCGCGACACTGAGGGTTGCGATCCATTGCCGGACACGAAAAAAGACAAAAAGAAAAAAAAAAAAAAAAAGAAAAGGAGAATTGAATAAAATTTTAAAAACAATACAATAAGACCAATCCATTGTCCCACAAAAAAGTAACAAGAGACAAAGCAGTTTAATTTAGTGTGTTCTTTTGGGGTTTTTTTTGAGTATTACATATAAAATATTATGTAAATTTCCAAGTGATATTAATAACAAGCAACACATAATTCTATTCAAGAATATGATAATTATACACAGATAAAATGCCTAACTAGTGTATCAGAGTCATTTAAAAAATAAATTCAGAAGGGGAAGGAAAGATAAAAGAGAATGAAAGAAGAGGATAAAAGACAAAGTTAGGTACAGAGATATAAAAACAAGCCAAAGAAAAGAATCAGACAGCTGGAGACTATGTAGAGGAAAAAAGGTAGAAATGCACACATAGAAGAACAACATGGATACATGGAGATACACAGAGATATCCATGGAAAAAGCACATCCATCAGGAAATCTCATCTCGTGCTATCTGTGACTGTTCTCCCCAGTTTTCCTCTACTTCTCTGGCAATTCCTTCTCAGTCTCCTTGCCTTTTCCTGTTCTGTCTGACCTAAAATACTGCTGGGCTCCCTGACCCTTCTCTGCCCCGGCTGCCCTTTCTTGGAGAGATCTCATCCAGAACCATGGCTTCAAATACCACTGACGTACTGAGCTTGGCCTCATATAACAAACCATACGTATTTCTCTAGGATGTCTAACAGGCAGCTCAAACTTTAAGTGTCAAAACGCTTATTAATAACAAGATAGCAGTAACTCTATTAGCGTTTCTCAAGGCTCCTTCTGCAGGTGACGTTTTCCCTTCCTAAGCTCAAGCCGACAAACCCTCCAACTCCCTCAACTGCCCACATCCAATCTATCATCAAAGTCTGATGTTTCTTTCTTGAAATTGTATTTCAAATCTTCTCAAGTTAACATTTACATTTTTAAAAAATTAAGTATTGAGTAGATACAACAGACTATGATGTATTTGTAGGGTATAAATAGTATAACAAACACCCAAGTACCAACTGCCCATTTATTTACTAATTTTTAAAATTGCAGTAAAATGCATATACATAAAATTTACCGTTTTAACCATTTTTAAGTGTTCAGTGCTATTAAGTACACCCATTGTTGTACTACCATCAGCACCACCCATCTCCTGAACTCTTTATCTTGCAAAACTGAAACTCTGTACTCACTAAACAATAACTCCCCAGTCCCTACACCCCCAGCCTCTGGCAACCACCATTCTACTGTTGCTATGAATTTGACTACTCCAGGTACCTCATGTAAGTGGAATTATACATTATTTATTATTTTGTGACTGGCTTATTTCACTTAACATACTGTCCTCAAGGTTCATCCATGTCATAGCCTGTGTCAGGATTTCCTCCCTTTTTTTTTTTTTTTTTCCTTTTTTCGTGACTGGCAACGGATCGCAACCCTCAGTGTCGCGCCCGTACCGGACCGGGACCGGCAACGGGATCGCAACCCTCGGCATTGCCCCCGCACCTCGCTCAGCCAGTGAGCGGGAACCAGTCTGTATGTGGGATCCGAACCCTCGGCAGGAGCGCTGCCCCGCTTTCCAAGCGG